ATAAGCTGTCCAAACGCAGCCATTGGAAAAGCTGGCCAAGGAGAGATAGAATGGCATGAACTCCACACTCTTAGTCGTAATAACCTTCTTCTGCAGATAATTAGTAATGCAAAGAAAAAAAAAAAAAGATGAATCCAAAAATTAAAGGTATATGTTTCATCATATGGAAATAAAGATAAATGCGTACAGGTTTCAGTGGAGGCACACATACCCAGATAGCAAGAGGTGAAGCATACATAATAATGCTGATGATATCGCACATAATTCCAACAAACACAGTCCTATGCTTGAACTTCAAAGCAAACATGGTGATCACAACAACTACAGCCATCAAAACAGCTTCACCCAGAAGGATAAGCGAGACCCTAATCTGGAAACGGTTAAACAGGACAAGGGAATTAACTATAGTTCATAAATGCTAAGAAATGAAATACAGTAAACGATAAAAATTCATTAGTTGAACCAGCTAGGTATATAGGTGGAGAGATTGAATTTGATATCCTACGTACGTACCCGCATCTTTTTCCCAGAGTAAAGATAGAAGATACTCAAGTAGATTAACTCGATTGCAAGACCAACTGCGTTGATGGTGGCGATAAGGATGTTATTCTTAACAACGATGGGAAGTCCATATAACGTAAAGAAGAGGCAGTTCAGAACAGTAGCCAGGTAAGGAAATGGCTGAAACTCCTCCACATCCTTCTTCTTAATGATACGGTAAAATGTTGGACTGTCAATCAAAAAGATGCATCAATATATGAAGTAGCAGTAGTGCAGAATATTAACTTCATTTATTCACTAAAAAAACAAAAAAGTGTTTTGAGGAAAGTTCCATTTATTCATAATGGAGCAGAGGTTTTATACAATAAAAAGCAAAGGAAAAAAACGAAAAAAAAAAAATATTGTTTGTTCTGTTTAGACTACATCAGTTATAAATCAAGGGACATAATAAAAATTTCACAAACATAGCACAGAGATATAGGAAAGAGAGATTACACTGGGGAGAGGAAGAGGCCGAAGGAGATGACATTCCCTATAATCAAACAAACAAACAAACAAATACATCATAAGATCTAGTGCAAGGTAGTGTTATGATGAATTACATATATGTGCATGACTAGTAAAAATTAAAGCAAAAATGCATAAATTAGGAACAAAAATGTAGTATTCACACACTCGAATCCTGATTATATGCTCCATCGTATACTAAAATGAAAAATCCAGTTATCAGAATCAGCATTAATTAGTCAGCATTCAGGAACAAAATTTAACCACATCAAAGCTTCAAAACAACCAAAAAAAAAAAAAAATTCCTAAATCCTTTTCCTTAATTGCTTCTCGTTTTTATCGATTCTAGTTCCGATCTCCAAACACAGAAAAATCACTCCGAAAACAACCGAGAGAAAAAAAATTAAAATGAGCAAAATCTAGCTCTCTTAGTCAATCCCTATATCGGTTCATCTCCAAACACATGATCACTCTTCATACCAACTCTCCGATCTATAAAAATGCAGAAATCACTCCGACTGGAAAAAAGATTAACGAAATCTCTTCGTCAATCCCTGTCGATTCAGTTTCCAAACACGTCGTCTCGATATCACTATCGAAACTTCAAAGACAGAGAGGATCGCAACAAAAATATATAGAGTATACAATAGTAGTAGTGATAACAATAAAAAAACGGTGATCGGAAATTACTTTCAATAAAAATGATTTTTAGTGACAAAAATTTGTAGTGAATTTTAAAATTATCATTAACTTATTATAATTGTGACAGATCTAGAAAATTAATTATAGATGCATATATATTTAATGATGAATAAAAAAATTCATCATAAAAAATATATTTCGTTACCAAAAGATGTTCATAAAGATAAAATAAGTTTTTGTCAATAAAAATCATCACTATAATGCATTACTATTATGACAAAATTTTAATATTGGTCACATATAACTTACACATTTAATGATAACCAAATAATTTATCACTAAAAAAATATATTTTGTCACTAAAAATTGTTAATTTTCTCTAATCAATGCATCTCACATCGATAAAAAACACATAAAAAAATTAGGTTTTGTACTATAAATATATCTCACATCGATAAGAAATATTTAAGAAAATAAATTTTTACACTATAAAACATGTGAAACTCAATAAAATTTGAGATTAGTTTGGGCCTGATTAATTTTAATCAAAATTGATTAGTTTTGAAATAATAATATTTTTTATTAAACTTTTGTGATAAATTTATATATTATTTTTTGTGACAAAATTTTTGTTAAAATATTTGTGTTGTAATTATGTAAATATTTTTTTTATTTAATATCAATTTTAATAATTAATAACTAAATTTTTCATCATAATTGCATTTGTGACGAATATTTTTTTGTAACGAATAAAATTGTTATAAATAACTCGTTAACAATGTCAATTTTTTCTATCACTATAAGATTATTTTCTGTAACAGGTGCCTAATTTGTCATTAAGAACATTAGTGACAAGAGTTTTACTAACAGTTTAAATTTTATCACTAATAATAATTTGTTACGAAAAATAAAGATTTAATGATCAATAATTTAATCACTAAATGTGGATTTTCTTGTAGTAAGTAGAGATTATACCGATAATACCGACGACATTCCGAGCAACATTTGCACTCACCATGGCTGAAACAACCTACAGCTGAGAAATTGAAGAAAACAGAGAATATAGAGGAGAAATTAGTGCAGAGAAGGACAAAGATAATGACCGCATAACGCAAACATATAGTGAGCGAAAAGAAGATTTAGTTACCGTAAATATCTAATTCTTCAGACACAGATTTTTTTTGTACACGTTATCTTATCCTGTATATAAATTTACTCTTTATGATTTTTTTTTAAAATTTTTTTAATTATAAATTTAAAGATAATTTATGTATTAATCAGTATTACGGTATTACCATAAAAAAAACAATAAACAAGGATTTTTTTGCTATAAAATAATAATTAAAGTAAAAGGATAATAATAGA